GACGGCGCATAGCGCGTCGTCTGCTATCAATCGCGTCAGCTGCAGGCAGCTGAGCGCAATTAACCAGTGCATGACAAGGAACTCCTTGCCATGAAGTACGCACTGGATAAGTTCCGCGTCTATCTCCTCGGAGATAGATCGTTTGTTGTCTATACGGACCATGCGTCACTACGCACGGCCGTAAACAGCCCACACCTCTCGCAAGGGGTGGGGAGGTGGCTGTCTTTCTTCGCGGAGTATAACTTCTCCGTGGAGTATAAACCAGGACGACTCAATGTCGTCGCTGATGAGCTTTCGCGCCGGCCCGATTTCGAGCCGGACGCACAAATCAACAGTGAAGATAAGCCCACTGTTGCGACACTGTCAGCCAGTGTTCCGTCGTCAAGTTTACTTGACGACGTACGAAAGGCATACGCGGAAGATAAAGATCTTTTGCGATTAATGGATCATCTGGTGGATCCATCCAGTAAATCACTGAAGGATTTACCAGCTTTGTACCGATCCTCGTCGGATCGGTACAGTACACGCAACGGATTGCTGTACTATACAGCTGTTGCCAACGACACGCCTCGTGTCGTCGTACCCGCTCATCATGATTTGCGTTTACGCATCATGTATGAGTGTCACGATGCCCCAACAGGCGGGCATCGTGGTAGAGAAAAGACTTACCTAACGGTAAGTCGTGACTTTTACTGGCCACGCCAGTATCAGTTTGTCCGCCAGTACGTACGTGCTTGCGAGGTTTTTCAACGGGTGAAGTCTAGTCCTTCATCCCGTGCGCCATTGCAGCCTCTGCCTGTTCCGGCAGAGTGCTGGCAGTCCGTTTCAATGGACTTCGTCTTCGGTTTCCCCGAAGACGCTCACAAGAATAATGGTATTCTTGTGTTTGTTGACCGATTCAGCAAGATGGTGCATCTTGCTGCAGTCCCTGAGTCGATCAAGGCTCAAGGTTGTGCTCGTGCCTTTCTTTACACGGTCTTTAGACTCCACGGGTTACCCCGTGAAGCCGTATCCGACCGTGACCCTCGGTACACGGCGGCATTTTGGCAAACCGTGTTCCGCACATTGGGAATACGATTGAAGACGTCTACTTCTGACCATCCCGAAACAGATGGTCAGACGGAGCGTGCGAACCGTGTCCTCGAAGAGATCCTTCGAGGATATGTCCACTCGTTCCCGAGTCGGAGCGAATTACTACCAATGGTGGAATTCGCCATCAATAATTCGGTGCATGCCTCCACACAGCACACACCGTTTTACGTGAAATGGCCTACGCCATCCACGGGTGCCCACCTTCTAAAGTGTGACTCTTGGATAAGGTGAGGAGGGACTAGCTCGAGCAAAAACCGTTTTGGCTCTTGCTCAGCACGTGTCGACGATAACGTCGTCACGTATGATGCCGATGTTGACAATGTCGACGTCGATGAAGCACACCACCGCAATAATAGCGACAACGCTAGTATTGATTCGGATGATGATGACGATGCTGGTATATTCAGCATCGTCAACGATTATTCCAGCGAGGAAGAAGACAACCTCGCTGAAGAAGAGAACAATCTCTTAGCAGTGCGCACGAAGCGCACTGAAAAACAAAACAAAGAGTCAGCAGAGAACTTCCTGCTGACTCGAGAGGCGGTAGTCCGTTTCGTTCAGGAATCCATCGCAAATGCGGTGGACCGTCAGAAACGGAATGCATACAAGAATGGAAGAGCAAATGTTCTTTCATTTAATGTTAATGACCTAGTACTACTGTCTACGGTAAACCTACCTGGACATGCAGTCACTAGTGTCGGCAGTAGTAAACTACTGCCGAAGTACATTGGGCCATTTCGAGTGTTGCATCGCAAGGGCAATGCATACACACTCGAATTGCCACGTAGGATGCGCACGCATCCTACGTTTTACGTGGGGAGGCTTAGGTCGTACTGTCAGTACGAGCCTTCTTCTTCCGATGAAGATAGCCCCCACGTTCAAGAACATCCATCAAGTTCTTGCGTTCGCGCTCCAGACGATCCGTCTGGTCGCGCAGATATGATACCTCGGTATTCAACCGAGATATCTCCCCGCGAGGTGCCGCCAGCTCGCCGAATAGGGAGCGGACATCCCGCTCGACCTGAAGCTGCGCCGTGGCATAATCGGCGCGATCCCTCGCCCGATCAGCCTCGTGATCCTTGCGGTTCTTCCGCACGGTATCAGTCAAAGCGTAGCGCCGGTCGCGCTCGTGCTTCAAGTCATCGCAATTCATCGATTGCGCGATCCATCTCGTAAGGGTCGAGATGGTGGACCTGGGGTTCTGGAGGAGGTCTTTCCGCCTCCGCCACATCCTTCGGTGGATGCTCACGGTGATCAACGCTTCCTAGTGGAGCGTATCTTGAACCACCGTGACGATTCAGGATCAAGGACGAGCTACCTCGTCCAGTGGCGGGGGTATCCACCCTCTTGTAACATCTGGGAGCCCCGCTCTCAGCTGTTGATGGATTTTGAAGGTCTCGTCCGCCAGTATGACGAGACCCATCCGAAGAGTCTTGTGGCCCATCGGTAAACACGCGCCCTAGGCGCTTGTAGACGGATTGCAAGTTTGCAATCGCGTCACGCATCTCGTCCGAGAGATGTGCCCTTCCCCAGGGCGAATTTAGGGAGTACACATCCCTATGTGCATGCTGCGAGTTGTCAACACAACTCGCACAAGGGTCCCCCCATGTGAGGCAAGGAATGCCTCCCTCACTCGATAAACAATGAAACCGGTACCTAGCACCGGTTGGCGTTCGCCGTTCGAACCTGAGGCGTGTTGCCTCAAGTTTCTTGAGCCACCCTTCTCGTCCAAAATTCTTTACGTTTTGGATGAACGCGTTCCACGCAGCCAAAAGCGAGGCTTTGTCACGCTTTTGGTTGCTGTTGCACCATCGATGTCTAAGGAAGACATCGAGATAAAAATCTTCTTCAGCGCGAAAGTTCTTCGCGCTGGGACTCAAGCCGTGAAGCTCGGTTGCATCGAATAAGGGCATTCGATGGTGTTGGCTTGTCTCGTGAGACAAGCCATTGATGAGCCGTTCGGGCAAACGCCACGGCTTCAGCTCATTACGCTTCACGGTGGTACCTTTGTTGGTACCACGGTTGTCAGTATGATGATGGGTTGCACCATCGTCAAGTCGCTCGTGCGAAGGAGCACGAGCTGATTGCGGTGATGAGCAAACATACTCATCACCAGATTCGTCATCACTGCCGAACAGACTGTGTTGCAACTCACGAGTCCGTTCGTTCGACAGTGGCCTTGGCGAACACTGAGGCGTCGCCGGTGAGCGAGACGCCTCTGCAACATTGCCCGAGTCAGACACGTCTGACTCGCCAGAGTAGATGACCTCATTGTCGGGGTCATCATGCGCACGCGGTGCTGTACCGCGTGCACCTGCAGCACCTCTTACTGCAGGCGAAGAACGAGCAGTAGACGACGAATCGTCTGCCGCAGAAGCTGGCACAGGCACAGACTCTGTGCGCCTTGAGTCACCCCGCACAGACATGTTAACTATGCGAGGTCGAGCGGAAAGTGAATGGAACGGACCCAACCAGTGCTCCCTGTCCCAATGGTGACCAACGGGCGGCCGCCATTATTTTTGATAGTCACACGGTGACTATCAGTTAGGGGGGTGATGTAACGGGGCAGCCCGTTACATGGAATTGTCACTTTAAAAGAAAGTGACAATAAAGAATATGAAGTTGAATATTCTTTGAGCTATAACACCGATAGTGGTGATATTGGTGAAGCGACCAAAGAGTCTGTTCATTGGTTGATATCTTGATGATATCAACCCACCATTCGCTCAAGACGCGCGCAATGAGTGGTGACGAGACGTCACCATACACTCAGTTATATTAGCATAATTAAGTCAGGTTAAACAAAGAGACAGTAGCAAAAGACTTAATTATATTAATATAACAGTATTACTTTTACCTTATCCTACGCTTCCTCGCTTGCCTTGTGTACGTCTGTCGGGCACCCAAACCCTTGCGTTAAGTTCACGCAAGGATGTGCCCCGTAACAAAAGGCCGCGTATTACAAGGCCTGCTATTATGTCATCGCCAAATCGCAAGGCAACCAAGAGAGCCGTCGCCAATGGTGACCAGCCCCGTACAACCACCGGACTCGAACGAGGAACCGGCGTTGCTAACAAGGCTTAAGATCTATCAGACATCTTGCAACCGGTAAATGCTTAAATAGACACGTCCACCTTTCTCTCTCCCTTACGGTCATTACGGTCATTGGTATGCTTCCGTTCGTGATTTAATTGCAAAGTGATTACACCCATCGGCGCCTGTAGACGGATGAAGGTGGCACTGCTCCGGCGGCTGAATGTGCGACAATCGAGGCTCGGTCGTGACCACAGTTGCCTAAGCCATTTTGCTACTCCTTGATTACGCCAGCAAGTACCACTCACACTGGTCGATTACCAATATGACCCAATTTTGCTGTGATGACGCCCAAAGGACGACGGCGTCGTTCGTGCCTTGTCTGATGACGAGCGGCCGCAGTCGCAGGACAAGTGTCTCACCTGAGTTGCCCAACGAACGACAGTTCACTTTCCTTTTTGCGCTCCCGAGCTCAGTCTCCTGCTCGAAACACTTGCACCGGTAGGCCATGCGCCGCTGCTTCCTCTTTGCCTTCTACGCGAGCGGTGCGCTACTTGTCACTTCTTCTGTCGTCGCCCCGGATCCAGGAGAAGCATAGACCACGGCACCTGGTACTCATGCAGTGGAGTATGAGACTGGCCAGACACTGCGGGGGGGGGCTCGTCCGTTCGTTGAGGAAGAACAAGAAGATCGTAGTGGACCATCTGAGCCATCAGTCTTCACCAGACTACTTGATCACGTGAGATCACCCAGGGTTAAAGTGCAATTCGATGGCGCTCTTCTCAACACGCACGAACAGATCGGTTCGGCAGCGATGCGTTATATTGAGACCGAGATTGGCGGCGACGCGCGATGGCGAGATCGAGCCGGCAGTGATGGGAAATGGCGAGATCGAGCCGACAGTGTTGCAAATTGGCAAGTACGCGCCGGCAAAGGTGCTTGAAAGCAAGGCGGACTCGGCAGTGACGCTTCGATTTATCAACAGCGTTGTCGAAGCTATTTCGACGGCAGAGGGGGAGGCTCGCCAGAAGCTCGAGACGTTACTGCATGGCGCAGTGGTCCAGTTCGTCTCAGAGCACCCTGTTCAACTCAACAACAAACATGAGTTCTCAAAATATTTGAGTGAGCACAGAGAACTGATTGTCCGCGAAGACAAAGAGCTCGGGCCGAAGGATCTTGCTCTCATGTTCGTGACCGCGAAGAAACAGGACAAGAAGTTGACGAAGAAGGCAGACGGCTGGGAGCTTGTCCTGTTCAGCTATTGGTACATGAATTTTTGAACCCCTGAGGTCATGAGAGACACATTCGCGGCGGCCGGACCTTCAGCGTTTGGTAGTGACGATGAAGCACAAGCGATATTATCGAGGTACGTAGTCTTCTCTAACACTTTCGAGAGCTAAACATGAATTTGCTGCACTTCCAAGTTGGTCCATATCGTGCTGCCCTGTTGTCTTGTTTACACTCTTCGAACTACTGCTGAGACTGACGTTCACTTGGAACACCTGAGTCGAGCCCAATGTGCAGCACTCACTTGACTCGGGTGCACGTGTGCGCTGTCTATCTGCCCACTTCAGCAAGCTCAAAAGGCACCCTGAGGCGCACTCTCTCCTAGTCATCTCAGCCCAAGCCTCTGGCGGTGACGCGCGCATCGTCGGTGTAGTAAGAACAGACTGAGGTGAACCCGCCCATGCCGTCGAATGCATGCGCCGTCTTGCGCAGGCAGTGATGGTTTGAAACCTTTCACTGCTAATGCCGTACGGATGAGGGCCTCTTCGGACAAGTGATCGGTTTACAGAGCTTTTTCGGTCTTGCGCGACAAGGAACCAGGTGCTCGATTTTGACGTTCTTCGACCAGCACATACACTCCCATGGTTCTCGACACTGTCACGTCAAGTCGATGGCGCACAATCGCCACCAACATCACCTGCACTGCATCGACAAACTGCGCTCTTGCAACATTCACGGTCCAGCAGCTTTGATGGTCTCGCGTCTTTGCCGATCGTGTTGTGCATAATGCCCACAAAACATTTTGTTCAACAGCTACTCCTCACCCTTCAGCTTGACGATCCATTCACCTCGTAGTATCCTTGTGCTCCAAGTCAGCTTCCCAGCCTATGGCCGTTCTTGTGGCGTCCGAGCCATTGCTGTGACGAACTCAAGGCCACTCTCGACAATCACGCTGTTTCGCGTGCAGGCTGTGACCGTAAACCGCAGCCGAGGGAGACGCAATCACGCGTGAGGACACTCCACCAGGAATCGGGAGGGCGAAGATGCTGGTCGTGAGGAAAGCATAAGCTCGAGTCAGAACGTTGACTCGCAACAGAGGCTTCACTCTAGCATCTTGTGTGTCCCGATCAGTCGATGGTCCACGCTTCCTTCAATCACGCAAGCCAACAAAGGGCAGTCACGACAAGGTTCTGAGACGGGCTTGCGGATCATGACACTCCTCTGCACCGCGTTCACGAAACAGCGACCAAAGCCACAGCAAGATAATTCAAAATCCAACGCGACTTGGTGACAACACGACGGAGCCACTCCATGGTCTGCACCCTTTTCTCCACCCGCAACGAAAAAAACGCAAGCAGGTGCACACAGCGTCTACTACTCACCGTGCACCCAGTTGAATCACATGTGCGACACCCGTCCTGTCCACTCGTACGTGATCACTCGCCAACGTGCTGCTAGTAGCAAACGTATATGAACGTACATACAGGATCAGGACATTCAATTGCAGCCCATGAGTCAACTCGGTCTCGTGCACACTTATTGCGAAACCGCAACAAGCTCCAGTCTTGAGTATAGACCGCATTCCACAAACACACCGTCGCAAAGGTAACGACGGCAGGAGCCGGCCAGCCGTGCGTGCACAACATTACCGCACGCTCATACCTCACCGTACACCACGATGGCGTCTGTCCAAGAGCATGCCAACCACGCGACTCATTTCTGTGCCAATGGCAGGCGCGCATATATCAACATCCAAAACTTCCATGCCAAAAGAAGCAAGATGTGGCACAACAGCTCGGCATCACGAACGCAAAGAGCACGGCCATCGTCACCGCTGTGACGAAATAAAGGTATCGACAAAATCAGCGCCTAACATCAAGTCAAGCTTCCACAAAGCAACAAAGAGCTTTTGTAGCACCAGACAGCACCTGCACTGGTGCGCGAAGCACACGACTCCAGCGCCAACAGCACGTCAACAACCATCGATCTCACCACGCCATATCCCGTCATTCCTTCGCACAAGTCGCTTACGTCCTTCCTGCACTCCTCTTCAAACATGACAGGCAAGCGGCGCACAGACATGATGAGTCAACGAACACGAACTGCTAACGCGCTATCCACAAATGGTACGTGACTTACCAGTACCGCACACACACGTCCTAGACAATCTCTTCTTCACGGATCTTGACGCAAAGTGGTACGTTGCACTGCAAAACATTGCAGTTCATTGCATGGTATGCAAACAGCTCGGCTGTGATCCGTGCAAGTCGATAGGAGCGCCACTGGTCGCTATGCGACGCCCAGCACACACTGCGCAGAAAGCGCTTCATGTGCGGGCAAAAAACACTCAGCTCAGGATCTGAGCACTGTAAATCGTCGCAATTACATGCGTGGATCAGTAACGCATTGCTCTTCTTCGGATCTCCTTCCAGCGCCTGCGCAATCTATGCAGCACGAGAGTAGCAGCATACAGCGTTGACTACACAAGCTCAAACAAAAAGTGGCCAACCACTTCGCACGTGACGTACAGGAATCGATGTCGGGTCACTATTTCCTCCTGCTCCGTTCGCTAGTGCGCTTCCACCATCACGCGCTTGTCCACTCGAAGATGTCACTGTTGCCGCCCTTGAACCTGCGCTGACTGCAGATGCAGCGACCTCTGCGTAGCTGGCAGCGTTTGTACCGGTTGCATAATCAGCAGCCGTTTGCGGGTGTTCCTGCTTCACCCTGTTAGCATACACACTGGGATGCTTGACGCTGCAAGCGGGGCAAAACCACGTTCCTTCCGGAACCCCGGGCAGCGGCGGGTCCAGACACGAAATGTGAAACTCGGCGTCGCAGTCGTCGCATAGAATGATCGCGTCCTCCCGGTCCGAGTTCCTGCAAATTTCACACACCGTCAGCTTCGCCTGCTCCTCTTCGTCTCGTCCGGTTTCCGCCATCTCGACGTCTATCGGCTGCACTTGTTCCAGCGCCGTCGGCTGCAGCGGCGTCTCCGACTCAAAATCGCTCAGGTCGTCCATTGGGTTCACCTCTCGCGCGTCCATTTCACTCGACGACTCGCTCTGGTACTCCCGCGGGTCAATAAACTGCGGTGCAAAAGGCACAGACCCATTGACGCTCGGGATGGCCGTCGTCGTCGTCGTGACCGGCACGGGGTCTAGCAACAGATGGGACCAGCACAACCGGCTTAGGTCCGCGATAGAAATGAAAAACGGGCTTAGAAATGCTATAGAAACGTACGCGGCTCTGCTTTGACCGCGACGGGATCTGCTGGCGGCGCGGGTGCGTACCGAGAGCCGCTGCGGACAGCCTCAGCGCGCGGCGGTACGTGGCCCGAACACGCGGACACCGTCAGCTGTACGAGCGCATCGATGCGCTGGAGGTCGCGGTCGTGCCGCACGGCCTCTTCCCAGTTAAAGCGCTTGCGGGCGACCGTCGCTGCCATTGCACGTGCAGCCGATCAACTGTGGGAGACGGAAGTGGTGTTGCGGGGTGTGGTCCCACATCTGAACATATGCTGTTTCGAGGTGCAGTTTTGTTCCGATACTGACTGGTGCAGTGCAGTGCCGACGAGAATCGCCTGCAGTTGGCCATTCGAAACAGAGAGAAGTGGGCCGGCAGCGCATTGCTGTCAACGCGTCCGATACCAACTTGGAGGGCCTTAGCACCGCCCGTCTTTACTTCGCCCTGTCTGCCTCGTCTTGTCTCTCCCCAGGGCGGTCGGGAGCCAGTCGTTGGGCCACATGTGGGACTTCACCACCCCCGTCAACTCGTTCCCTGTGCAGCTGCTGCTGTCTTTTGACAGAGCAAAGCAATTCCTGTACAGGACTTCTCTCTGCTCGTGCTATTTCGTGTCGTGGCTCATGCGGAAAGCACATTGAGAAGCGAAGCTGCTGACTCGTTCCGTCGGACGTCGCGACCTACTTGTGCTGCAAGCGGCCATACAAATGTTTTCGCCGCGCAGTGTAGTGATAGATGAACCCGACATTTGCGCGTTCTTTGCGAATGCACGAAAGGAACATCGGGATCCGAAACGAGATCATTATCGCCGGTAGGCGCTGTTAGCGTCAGCTTCGGTGCTGCATATGATCCGTCGATTCCGTGGCTCTGGTCCTGTGACGTCTACTGCAATGCAAAGAGACGTGATGAGGTCGTACACACGCGCTTTGCAAAAGCAAAAGTTCTCTACAATCGACTGGCGATGCGCTTCGAGTTGTAAATTGGAGGCTGGTTCAATGATGGGGCATGGAAACCTCTTGGCAGTAAAGCCACAAGACCGAAGTGATCGTCTTCATCATCATCACCATCAATCGTATTGGCCTCCTCGTTGAAGCTCGCAGCGCAGACTGTGCTTCCAGTCTGACCAGCTCGCGCCTCGTTCGCGTGAGCAGCAGACCACGGCATGTAGCTACTACAAAAATCTGTTGACAATGACGAAAAACACAGCTGGCGCTATCAGTGATGTGTTGAGCCGCTGTTACCACTGCACTCTTGGTCTACGTTGTCCTCAACGGCAGCTGCGGTGCCGAGCTTCATCGGCATCTCTCAACGATTCGGAAAGCTTGCATCGGTCCGAAGTTACCATGTCTCTCCTCGTCCAAAACCGTTGTTCATGACCATCGCTTGATCGTCTTTTGCTGTCCTTATCATCGTTTGGCGTTAGGGACGGAATGTCTAACATCGTGTTGCCTGCATTGCAACCACCAGCCGATACGCTTGAACGGGTATCAACCGACGCACGACTCGATGCAGTTCCGTCCTGACGTGTTCTCGGTTTTGTCCTTCATGCACTTGAAAGAGCTACGCCAGTATCGTTCATCGACCACACCACATTCATCGACCACACCACTGCTTTTTTCTGATCTATGCTGCAACAAGACAGCGACAGGTGATGATGACAGTATACTGACATTGTGACGAACATCTTGTGGCGTACGCGGTGTAGGATCTCGACGCGCGTACCGCAATCATTGACATTAACCGTCAAATGTCAATGATTGCGAGTGCGAGAAGCTCGCGCCTGACGACTCAAACCATCGTACTTGATGCCTTTTGGTTGCTCGTGATTACGCGTTTCGAGTTCAATTTCGCATGTGTGGTCTGCCAACACTTCCTACAACGTGACAAGTCATCATTTCGTTGAACGCTTGTTGGGCCTCACGACAAGAGCGATGGGGGGCCTGTCAATATGAAGATGACTTTCCTAACCTTCGCAGGATGGGACAGCCTTCCAGCTGGAATCGAAACGAGAAGTTGTTGTGACGCGATTGAGAGCCATGTGCCAGCGTATAGACAGCATTGTGCAGGTCATTTACGTGCTGCGGAAACGCGACAACATGAGGGCACGACGATGGCAATCGACGTGTAAGTACACACGCAGTATCGCCACAAGTGCCTGCGCAAACACCTTTGGTGAACCCAATCGACCGTTTAGACAGTCTCCAAAACATCGCGTTGTGGTGTCGGTGCGTGCACTGCACAAACTTTCGACGCGAATGAGCCATAGCTTTCGATGTGACGAAAGTATCATCGCCAACTGTATGCAAATTGCAGACTTTGGAAGTGCCAAGAGAGCTGCTCAATAGTTGCGAAAGCAAAAGTGAAGTGTCGTTGCTCCAGTTGCAATCGTCAGACAACATGCTTATGGCATCAAACGCTACCTGTAATTACTAGCCTCCAAATGACGCAGCAATTCTTTTCTTGTCTGCTTCGCGCAGAGGGTCGTCTTTTGTCGAGTGCAATAACGACTCGTTCCTTCGTTGCTAGCACATCAACTCCAGAAAAGCACAATCCATTAGCTGAGCACGGCGGTACGCATGTGGCCCGACAATACGCTGTTTCTGCACACGTACGAGTGCTCTCATACCGACGCACCAACTGCTCTGGCGCTGCCCACAGCTGCCCCACGATGCACAGAACGACGCGAAAGCGGAAACAAAGAGCCACTTCCACACTTACGACCGCGTCTTCAACTGGATAGCAGCGCTAACTACGCAGCCGTCGACACATGGGCACATTGCACTGCACTGATTGACAGTGCAGCGCGTGGTACGTAAAGAGCTCAGTGACGACATTGCCAATGGGGAACGACCGCCACTGCTCGCTGTGCGAGGCCCAACAGGCTGCGCGCAGAAACCTCTTCATGTGCGCGCAGATACTCCAGAACTCGGGGTCTTCACAGTGGGCGTCGTCGCACTCACACGCGTGCACGAGCACCCGATCGCAATGGCTCTGTGCGTCGTGCGGCGCTGCCGCTTCAGACGCCGTCGAGCGCTAACACAGTCGGCAGCGGACCAGTCGATCAATCAATCGGTCAATCAATCAGTCGGTCATACGCCAACGGGTTGAGAGAGCACACGACCGCATGAGTTCTTTCAAGCGCACCCCAACAACAACAACAACAACGACAACAGCAACAGCTACGAATCAGTCAGTACGGCCCTACCACCTGATCCACGACGTCCCTCTCGCTCGCTGTCGCCGTCTGCACTCGCTCGCGCTTCACACTGACGTCCGGCATTGGCAGTAGCGCAGAAGGGGCGTTTCGTTCTCTCTCTTTCTCTCTCTCTTTCTCTCAGGTGAGACGACGACAGTCTCAGCGTCGAGTTCCAAAAGGAATTGAGACGCTGAAAAAAAGCGGAGTGCATGTCGCTAAGTACGCATGTCCAGGCCCGAACTTAAAAGACGCAGCTCGCTCGCTCGTCGTCCTTAGGTTAATGTAACGGGGCAGCCCGTTACATGGAATTGTCACTTTAAGGAAAGTGACAATAAAGAATATGAAGTTGAATATTCTTTGAGCAATAACACCGATAGTGGTGATATTGGTGAAGCGACCATAGAGTCTGTTCATTGGTTGATATCTTGATGATATCAACCCACCATTCGCTCAAGACGCGCGCAATGAGTGGTGACGAGACGTCACCATGCACTCAGTTATATTAGCATATTTAAGTTGAGTCAAACAGAGAGACAGTAGTCAAAAGACTTAATTATATTAATATAACAGTTTACTTTTTCCTTATCCTACGCTTCCTCGTTCGCCTCGTGTACGTCTGTCGGGGCACCCGAAACCCTTGCGTTAAGTTCACGCAAGGGTGGGCCCCGTTACAGTTAACGTCTCGTTTAAGGACGTACCGGTTGGCAAATGCGTCTGAAATCTGGTGCAACGTCGTATTTTGATAAGCAGGTGGCAATGCAGCGACGACGGATCGTTGTCGATGAACACGCTGCGCTTAAAAGGCGAAGCTGTGCGTTGTTGTGTCTGTCTTGGTTTGTGAGTGAGAAGGTGGGGTATATTCAGGTACGCTAGCGACCCGCTATATCCAGTAAGCCAGTGATCAAAATCACCACACATACATCTAAGTTACAAGCTTAGGCTAGTGTGGTTCCACGAAAGGCGCCTCCGCGTTGCGCGAGGTGTTTTCGTGAATGAATTCGGCCTTTTCCTGTGTAAGTGGGTCCACTTAAATCTACGTGCTCGGAAGTAGAAGTCTCGATCCAGTGATTGACGTCGTTGTCGAGGTGTGCAGCCAGCTCCTGAACGACTCTTCAGCCTGACGGAATTCCGACTTGGACGGAACTGCTCGTGTCCATGGGCTATGTTCTCCGCACAGTCAGCCATTTTGTTGAAGTCGCAGTAGTGATGACCCCAGCTAACCACAGCTACTTCGTCGGCCAGATCTCTCGCCACGTCGTATAAGTGCGCCAATTGGGGTTTACGCGGTGAGCGATAAGTCCTGAGTTGCGAGAGTACCAAAGCACTGTACCCTACGACATGAATAGGCGACAACACCTTCTTTAGCGCGGCGAAGACCGTGAACGAGACCGTGATCTTCGTCAAAATTGTAACTAGTAGTTGGTTTGTCACATGCCATGCTGGCCACCCACACGATACCGGCTGTGTGGGTAGGTGCGTGAAGCTTGACAATGACGGAGTCACACTCGCCCGGCCCAGGATTTCCTCGAGATCCCCCATCGAAGGAAAGCAGGTATAGCACACCTGGCTGGTCAGACAGCCGTAGTGATCGCAGTAAAATGGGTTCATCGTGTAGTAGGAGCGTGTCGGCCAGTGCTGATCACTGGCCGATGAGAGATCGTGCGCTGCCATGTTCCATAACGGGAAGCTGTTACGCTTGAGTCGATACAGCGTTTATACTTCTATCGGACTTGTCGCTCAGATCCGGAAATATCACGCCATGAAACTATACCGGTGCCAGCTAAAATTTTCTCAAAGCCGTGCTTCAAAATTCTTGAGCCGCGCTGTTGTTCTCCAATTCACAAGCGGCAGTTGGCTATAAGCCGATTTATCTTTTTTCTCTGTTGTTTCCACCGTATAGAACCATCCCATAGATGCACCACCCGTGAAAGCGCCGGATGAGCCCCAAAATGTACTGGGGTCTTGCTGTTCCGACTCGCTGCTCTATCACACCCCAGCATATAGTCGACTATCGTTGTGCCGGCACGTATACCTGTGTCATAATATGAAAGGGAAGCGCCCTTCTCGTCCAGTAGCCATTCGTGATGCAGATGGACCTTGGCCGAGTACAAGACCAGGTCCCCGTGCGGAAGCGCTCGATACGTAATTGAGAAAACGTTGTAAGCGAGTGCGAGATAGAAAGACCCAAAGTGTCGCCGCTTCGCTATCGCCTGTGCTGACATGTCGGTACAAGGCGAGAAGCGAGTCACACCAGGCTGTAGTGAGGGCCACGATAGTACATCGCCGACAGGTCGTGAACCGCGAGATAACCCGGCTCCGTGCAGCTTGTACGGGGTACCTCGACGATCTCGGAGCCATGGCATATCTTGCATATTCAAATGCCTAAGCCATCAATTGTTGAAACGGCCCGTTGAGGCGGCATCTGCCTTGATATCGTTTCGCACTTCATCGGCTATCGCGTGACGAAAGTCGATGGTGACACTGCCATCATTTTTGTAGACGGTGTTGGCTGAAGAAGAAAAACAGACAGCTCGGCGACTTACAGTATTCGCGTCTCTGTGGTGAAGTCGATCTCACAAAATCGCTTGTGTGAGGGTCGATCTTCCACTTGCCCAGACTTGCCGACTGACGGAGGGGGTACTCCGATCCGTGCCTTGTTGTATAGCCTTGTGCTCACCTTGTGTACCCTTCGATTGGGCTAGATTGAGCTCTTCTTAATGGCCTTGGGAGATGTCGATTTCGCTGAGGGTTTAGGGTTGAGAGTTCGCTTTCGGTGCGGAAATCTTCACACCACAAACGGGGGTTCTGCGATCTTGATCTTGAGTCGCGTCGATTACTATCTTGAAATGTCGCGATCTTGATCTTGGTTCGCACTGATCTCATTTTTTCTTCGGGATTGGGGTCTTTGCTGTGCGGAAATCGATACACAGCAAATAATAGTCTTGCGTCGATCTTGCCTTGGGATCGGTCCGATCTGGTCTTGGGATCGGACCGATCTTGTTAAAAGTGCGCAATGTAACAGATATGTCCTTAGCTTCGCCAATAAAAAATGGGTGATCTACCTTGTGGATCGCTTCGATCTTGCTCGGTTTTGTCTTGAACGCCTTGTCCAGATCGTCTGACCACTTGATCCGTCTCGCGATCTTGTAACCAAAATCATATTCCTTGTTGCTACTACCCTAGCAGTTGAGCTGAGTTGAGTTACCTAAACCTCACCTTGGCCAAACAATCCTATGTGAGCACACGAAACACGGCGCGGTGAAGTGTCTTGATTGACGGGATGCCAAATAACCTTCCCGGAAGAGAAGTCTGCGACGTGCTTTGTTTGTAAAAACGGTGACTGTTTTATTATCCAACCAAATTAATAGCAAACCTATCTTTAAGCCTATTCCAAACTGTAGGTCTCTCTCCAAACCGATATCTCTTTTAAGCTTGACCGCCGCCTTGAGCACGTGTCAATATTTCATGACACGTACTCCAAAGATAGCGCCAATATTCCCGATATCGTACCTAAACGCCAAAAGAGTACCAAATCCCAAATATGGTACCAAATTCTCAATTTTGGTGCCAAAGGGCCCGAAATAGTACCCAAATACCGAATGTTTCTAAATCCATTTTTCGACGTCAATTCATCCGGCTTCCACTGGCTCTTTCGGTCTTCACTTTTGAGACATCACTCATGGATATTCAACAAGCATATCCGTCATGATTTGGTATCTCCATCAACGAAATATCCATGATCAACAGGGAACATTACCGATCTGATACCCAATATCGAAATGTTGGAGATCGATCTAATACAAATCAGCCATAGACATTATCTCGCTCCTTGTACGTGTTCCCGTATCATCCTTCAGCCTTTATCCGATAGATGCTTCGACCATACGCTTTGACATAAGTCCCTAAAATCGTTGGAACATTCATAACGCATCACCTGGTCCCAGATACACCTTTCGATATTGACTTGGTCACAACATCCACGACCGTTGCCATAGCCAGTTAATCAAACGTTCCAATGTCCGTAAATTAAGAGACCTTAGCGTATTAATATGCTATCCAGACTTCACCTACTCAGATATACGTTCATCTCCTTGGTCAACATTCAGGTGAATTGAATGACTTCGTTCCATTTCCTTGTCCCAGATCGCTCCATGGAAATCGTTCTATCTGTCATCTTGTCCCAGATCGCTGCAGGGAAATCCTCATATTTGTCAACTTGTCCCAGATCGCTCCATGGGAATCGTTCTATTTGTCTTCTTGTCCCAGATCGCTCAATAAATCCTTCTGGTTTATCGTCTTGTCTCAGATATCTCCCCGTCTCCGTCACCCTAGCAACAGTTTAAATAAACCGTTACTCCTCGTTGGACTCACCCTTTCTCTCCCATTGGATCGATTGATCACCTCGTGTCGTTTTCTACTAGTTAGTAACGTCTCAATTGGTTGGTAACCGATCCACATCCCAAAATTGATTAGAGACTTTGCCACATCTCCATAACGAATGTGACGGGAAGCTGACAGGCGTCCCACTGCAGCCCCAGTCTACTAGAAAAAGGCTTTAAGTTTAGGTTGCATCTCTGCTGGGAGAATGGTGTGGTGTACGTCGGCCCATCCACTGCCCCCCAGAGAAAGTCTTTGACCAGGAGGTCCCGTTGCGAGACGGCTGCCGCCCATTCGCCGACGCCTGTTGCAGTTATTTTCATCAACTCCGTCCTGATACATGGTATCGCCATCCCACTCTGCTGAATAGGAAGCGATGCCATTTCTTGTGTAACTCAAGATCTGGAAAAAATTTATTTTCTCGCCCCAAGATAAATACCATGAGAAGTTCGTGAAGTCGTGCGACTATCCCGAGAGGCGGCCAGCAATGACGTAACAAAAAGATAATTTTGGGGACCGCAATCGCGCTAGACGGACGAGCTCGCTGTTATACAGTGTGTGTCTTCGCACGATCAAGGACGAGCCGACACCAGATAGATCGGATACATTTTATCCCAGTTCTCGGCAGGAGCTTCTTGCTGTACGACCATCACACCAAGGTACCGGCAAGAATCTCGCCGCGCAAGAATTGTTAGGCCTTGGGTATC